GTTAATCTAAGTTTGCATTAGAGAAAGATGTGATTCTTGTGTTTCTAATGCTTTACATTATCTATATTACAGCCGGTTCTGCGTCTATCTATTGATGAGCAGCCTCATAGAGCGGCAGTTCACCCCAAAAGAGATGGAATTGTTTGTTCGATGAGCATGAGATGCAGGTATTTGTTTACATCCATTATTGTTGGGTAGGTAGATTCCCAATTATCAAATCCATAAAAAAGTTGTAATTACTGAGAATTTAAGATATTGCTTACAAGTATTATTATTTTACCTTAATTAAAAGGAGGGTTGAATTAAGGTCCAAGCCAAGGAATCAATGTTAGTCTATTTTTATTCCCTTGCATATATAGCTCCTTGCTCACGTTCACCACCCCTACCCTTGCAAAGAATAATCTTTTTGCAAAAAATAATCTTTTAGCAAAAAAATATAAGGGTAAAGTTGCTTAAAATCAACCCCACCCCTACCCTTGCAAGTTGAGGAGCCTTGTGCATTTGGGTTTGCCCTTTATTAGAAATTTGTTTGTCTTATGCCCTGTTTGAAGGTAGTTAGTCATAGATATGGCTTCTGTATTCAGGGCCTTGGCTTCTGTATCCATGGATTTAACAGTGAGGGTAACCATAATTGAAAGGAAGAAATATGATATATGCACATTTCATGATTTGTTGACATGACAACTCTATAACATGTTCTTACTTAGTTTACTGATCTATAATTGTTTTGCAGAACTCAAAATATTTGGTGTGGTCCTTTTAGCCTATCAGTCTGTTAATTTAGTTAACCTAGAACATTGCTGGCCTAAATTTTGTGGCCGAAATTTTGTTGAATGACAAAACATTTTGATGGGCCTGAAGTGATTGAATTAATTAGTTTGTTAGGAAAATTTTATTAATGGCATTCTAGTAGTTATAATCAAACAGATTATTTTTCTTCTTTTTTCTACAAAACAACTTTTATAAGTTGTTTTATAAAATAGTTTAAAAAAAAAACACATTATTGTGTTCAGCCACGGATAAAAACACATTCTTATCTTCCGTCGCTGATTACAAATCTAACATAGAAAGAGAGAGACAGAGAGAATATGGCGGTGATCCCTAAATATCCATATTTGTTTTCATACCATGGTCCTTTGTTTTGTGTTGGTTGGCATCCCGACCAGTTGTATCGAGGAAATTGGGAGGAAGAGGGGCTGACCCCCGGCGGACACCTACTCTTCGTGGGCAGTTGTGGAGATTTTAGCACAATTTGGCGCAATGCTATGTTTATTGCCCTGTCATACGTTGATTCCAATCCTCTCTCTTACGCACATGTATGATAACAATTGATTTAGTGATTATTTTGTTGTTAATCTAAGTTTGCATTAGAGAAATATGTGGTTCTCTTGTTTCTAATGCTTTACATTATCTATATTACAGCCGAGTCTGTGTCTTTCTATTGATGAGCAGCCTCATAGAAAGGAAATGGAATTGTTTGTTCGATGAGCATGGGATGCAGGTCTGTTGCTTCTCATCTCTCTTTTGTTTACATCCATTGTTGTCGGGTAAGTTAGTTTTCCATTTACCAAATTCATAAAAAAGTTTTAATTACTGAGAATTTAAGATATTGCGTAGAAGTATTATTATTTTACCTTAATTAAGAGGAGGGTTGAATCAAGGTCCAAGCCAAGGAATCAATGCTAGTCTATTTTTATTCTCTTGCATATATAGCTCCTTGCTCACGTTCACCACCCCTACCCTTGCAAAAAATAATCTTTTTGCAAAAAATATAAAGGTACATTTGCTTAAAATCAACCCCACCCTTACCCTTGCAAGTTGGGGAGCCTTGTGCATAGGGGTTTGCCCTTTATTAAAAATTTGTTGTCCTATGACCTGTTTGAAGGTAGTTAGTCATAGATATGACTTCTGTATTCGGGGCCTTGGCTTCTGTATCCATGGATTCAACAGTGAGGGTAACCATAGTTGAAGGGAAGAAATATGGTATGTGTACATTTCATGATTTGTTGACATGAGAACTCTATAACATGTTCTTACTTAGTTTACTGATCTATAATTATTTTGCAGAACTCAAAATATTTGGTGTGGTCCTTTTAGCCTATCAGTCTGTTGATTTAGTTAACCTTGAACATTAATGGTCAAAATTTTGTTGAATGACAAAACGTTTCTGATGGGCCTGAAGTGATTGAATTAATTAGTTTGTTAGGAAAATTTTATTAATGGCATTCTAGTAGATATAATCAAACAGATTATATTTCTTCTTTTTTCTACAAAACAACTTTTATAAGTTGTTTTAATAAATAGTTTTGAAAAATAAAAAACACATTATTATGTTCAGCCACTGATAAAAACACATTCTTATCTTCCGCCGCTGATTACAAATCTAATATACAAAGAGAGAGACAGAGAGAATATGGCGGTGCTCCCTGAATATCCATATTTGTTTTCATACCAGGGTCCTTTGTTTTGTGTTGGTTGGCATCCCGACCAGTTGTATCGAGGGAATTGGGAGAGAGAGGGGCTGACCCCCGGCGGACACCTGCTCTTCGTGGGCGGTGGTGGAGGTTTTAGCACAATTTGGCGCAATGTTGTGGTTATTACCCTGCCATATGTTGATTCCAATCCTCTTTTTTACGCACATGTATGATAACAATTGATTTAGTGATTTTTTTGTTGTTAATCTAAGTTTGCATTAGAGAAAGATGGGGTTCTTGTGTTTCTAATGCTTTACGTTATCTATATTACAGCCAAGTCTGTGTCTATCTATTGATGAGCAGACTCATAGAAAGGAAATGGAATTGTTTGTTTGATGAGTATGGGATGCAGGTCTGTTGCTTCTCATCTCTCTTTTGTTTACATCCATTGTTTTTGGGTAAGTTAGATTCTCATTTACCAAATCCATAAAAAAGTTTTAATTACTGAGAAATTAAGATAATGCTTAGAAGTATTATTATTTTACTTTAATTAAGAGGAGGGTTGAATCAAGGTCCAAGCCAAGGAATCAATGATAGTCTATTTTTATTCTCTTGCATATATAGCTCCTTGCTCACGTTCACCATATATATCTCAACACTTTCGTTAAATCCTTCATGCTGATATGATTTTTAAAAAGTTATGTTCCTTCATTGCTGGTTCGGGAATTGAAGAGTTGTGAGATTGATTGGCATATATAGTTCAAAAGTGAGTGCTTGGGTCTCTCTCACCCAAAATCTTGAAATGCATATGCAGAGGAGAAGGCATATTTAAGGTGTCATGGAAGTTGCTGAAAATGGTAAACACAATGGCAAAAGAAAAAGGTGTTTGTTTGCCAATGACACGTGACATGCATGCCCTTGGTGACCCTGTAGGAATCAAGAAGCTCTTCAAAAGGAAGTACAACAATAACCTGTGCCACCGGAGGCCATTTGTGTGACTATGGCTGTTGTGACCCAAAGCCACATAAGGCCCCAAATTAAATACAAACAGAAAATAGTGCTGAGACATATATGGTGAACGTGAGCAAGGAGCTATATATGCAAGAGAATAAAAATAGACTAGCATTGATTCTTGGACCTTGATTCAACCCTCCTCTTAATTAAGGTAAAATAATAATACTTGTAAGCAATATCTTAAATTCTCAGTAATTAAAACTTTTTTATGGATTTGAGAATTAGGAATCTAACTTACCCAACAACAATGGATGTAAACAAAGGAGAGATGAGAAGCAACAGACCTGCATCCCATGCTCATAGAACAAACAATTCCATCTCCTTTGGGGTGAACTGCCGCTCTATGAGGCTGCTCATCGATAGATAGACGCAGACCCGACTATAATATAGATAATGTAAAGCATTAGAAACACAAGAACCCCATCTTTCTCTAATGCAAACTTAGATTAACAATAAAAAAATTATTAAATCAATTGCTATCATACCCGTGCGTAGGAAAGAGGATTGGAATCGACGTCAACTTAGGGCAGGGCAATGAACACACCATTGCGCCAAATTGTGCTAGAACCTCCATAACCGCCCACAAAGAGCCGGTGTCCCCCGGGCCAGCCCCTCTCTCTCCCAATCCCCTCGGTACAACGGGTCGGGATGCCAACCAACACAAAATAAAGGACCATGGTTTGAAAACAAATATGGATATTCAGGGAGCGGCGCCGCCATATTCTCTCTGTCTCTCTCTCTTTGTATATTAGGTTTGTAATCGGCGGCAGAAGATAAGAATGTGTTTTTATCAGTAATGGCTGAACATAAGAATGTGTTTTTGTTTTTTGTTTTTGTTTTTAAAACTATTTTATAAAACAACTTATAAAAGTTGTTTTGTAGAAAAAAGAAGAAAACAAATCTGTTTGATTATAATTACTAGAATGCTATTAATAAAATGTTTCTCCGTGTTTTTGTCACTTTTAAGAGTAAGAGTAGGAAAAGAGAACAAAAATAAGTAATAGGTGTTCTCTATTTTTTGTTTTAAAAACTAAAGGACAGATGTTGTTTTTAGAACAACAAATACAAAAAATTCATGCCAAATAAGTTTTTTAATTTTTTTGTTTTTAAAATTAAGAAACTGTTTTGCAGAACAGAGAACAGGAATTAAACAAAGCATAAAAATAAAATATTATTGTGAACGACAGAGTAAAATATATATTTTTAGAGAAAAATTCAAAAAACTCCTTTGGGTATGTATTCTGATTTAAAATTATGCCACCATTAATGCAGAATTTTACAACATTGATATCTTTATTTTGATTTAAAATTATTTTATTATGTTAATTTTATATCAATTTTATATGTAATAAAATATTTTTTGGAATTTCCACATTTGGTATGTATTCTGAATTTCTGATCCCATAGCGGATCCGTCCTTCATAGTTGATAGGCGTCACGTAGAACAATGGCGAGCTCTGATCCCCACAAGTTGATAAACAAATCTGATAACTTGTCTGTTCAAGGATATAGTATTTTTATTGTTTCTCTTCTTATGAATTATATTTATCTTTAGTATCCTTCACGCTTCAGAACAACGCTCAGCCTCACAAGATGGAGTGCAGATTGGAGAAGTGCTACTGCTCTTTATGAGCAAGCTGGTAAAATATTCATGCATTGTTAAATTCTTGGTTGTATATGCAAATAATTTACATGCTAGTGTATCAAAATGAAAGTTTTATTAAGAGAAAAAAATCATGTGGATAAATCTATAAAGCTCTTATTTTCTGTAGCTAATGGGTTTAGAGTTGCCAAGGACTACGAGAGAGCAAAAGGAGCATTTGAGAAGGCTTCAAAAGGACAAGAGATGCTTTCTTCGTATCCTTACCTTTTTTTGTAGTAGTAGTAGTAGTAGTAGTCTTCTTCTTCATCTTCTTCAACTAAAGAGAATAAATAAATGATCATATTGGGTAGCTGTTGTTGTTGTTGTTGTTGTTGTTGTTGTTGTTGTTGTGTTAATGTTATCATGTTCCATGTGTTAAACCATCTCTCTTTATTTATCCTTGACAAATAAACCAGACCTTGGGATGCAGGTAAGCACATGGAATCTGCTGCTGCTATGTCAAAGGAACTAAGCAACTGGAGAGAAGTTGGGGACTTATATCGAAGGGCATCTGAATTGTACGTTGAGCGTGGGAGATCACAACCTGTATCAGATGCTCTTGCAAAGGGAGCCCCGTAACCAGATTGTCACCTCTCCAGCTTTGGAGCTGCATTTCATGTTTTATTAGTTAACTATTTGTTTTTACATCTTCCATTTTTTTGTTGAAAGTAACCAGCTAGGCATTAACATATATTGAATCTCATAATATGAAAGCTCCAATTGGCCAGTAATCAGTAATTCCATGATGACCAAGTTCCCATCTACTCTTCAGTAAAAACAAGAAAGCTATGTTATCAAAAAAAAAAAAAAAAAAACAAGAAAGCTAAAATCTTCATGTATTTTTGTTGTTTAAACAGTCCTTGATCTGATGGCTGGAGTGGAATGCTTTTTTCTGTATGGGTCTCTCTACCCCCCAATTTGGTTTAGAATAGGATTCTACTTTTGGCTGCATTCTTTATTTTTTTTTATCCGATGCATTTTGCCTTTACTGTTATGGACTATATATTATCCTTCTATCATAGGTAGGGGTGTACATGGGTCACGTCGGGTCAATTTTTTGTGCCGACTCGATCCAACTTGATTTTTATAGGTCACGTATTTTGATCCAACCCGATTTAATTTGATCTAAATTAGGTCTGACCTAGATTGAATTTTTTAAACTAGTTCAGAATTTGATCGAATCTGACCTGACTTGGTTTGTGAAGTGGGTCTGACTTGGTTTCAAAATCGGATCAAATCCGACCTGATCCGATTTTAACTAATATAATCTTATATTTATGTAACTTTCATTAACTAATTATATAACAAGTATTATAATGTTTTTTATACACATAACTTTTGATTCGATCATCTCATACAGTTGTGAATAGCAGTATTGGTAGATTGGATTAAAACGGTTGTGAATAAAAAATCAATTGATTCGATTCAATCAATTCTTTTGTATAATATCAGCTGATCAATTTTTACCGTATTTTCTATCTCGCTACTTTCAGAATTCCTCTCATCTAGAGGTATAATGTATGCTTCCATTCACTATGCGTTTGTACACTGAGGGGGACATGCAGACTATGTTAAAGTAGGCTTCAAAATTGGTTTGATCTCTTTAAGAAATAAATGCTTGAAATCAAGTAATTACCCACAGCAATTACAGGATCAAGTTGTCAAAGAGAAGATTAATTTTATTTTATCTTTTGGAAGAGAGAAGATTAAATTTTTATTTGTAGCATTGTTTTACTAAAATCCGGAGGTGGTGGTGTGAAATTAAGTTATTAAACAATAAGTCTTATTTTTTAATACAAATTATGTAGTGTTAAATGAGTCGGTTTTAGCATATTTGATTGCTATATTAGACCATTATATTATATCATATCATATGGGTTTAAATCAATCAATCAGCTCGGGATTGAGCACAAGAAGAGTTGAGAAGCATATCTTGAACTGCAATTGTAATTGCGGTGGCTGATCCTCTTCGGTGGAGTGGAAGAATGTCGACAGAGAGAAGAGAGAAGTGAGAACCCTAAAAACGAAAACTGCAATTGTGATTTCTTTTTCTTTTTTTTCACATAATGGGTATGGGTCAAATTTTGGGTCAATGGGTCAATTATTAAAATAAGTCAGGTCTAAAACTGACCCAAATAAAAGTGGATCAGTATTTAAAACTAGTTCAAAAAAGTAGGTATTTATAGGTTAGGTCAAGGTTAGATCAAGAGTAGGTCAAGTGAACCAGTTTTTTAGCACACCCCTACCTATAGGGGTGTGCATGGGTCAGGTCGGGTCGAGTTTTTGTGCTGACCCGACCCAACTTGGTTTTATAGGTCAAGTATTTTGACCCGACCCAGTTTAATTTGATCTAAGTCAGGTCTGACCCGATTTGAATGTTTTTTGAACTGGTTCAGAATTGGATCAAATTCAACCTGACTTGGTTTCTGAAGTAGGTCTGACTTGGTTTCAAAATCGGGTCAAATCCAACCTGACCCACTTTTGACTTTGTTTCAAAACTTATTTTTTATTTGATTTTTTTATAGTTATTGATTTAATTTTTAAACTCAAGTAATTTAATTATTTATTTGTTTTAAAATATATAAATTATATAATAAATTTGATATTTGTTAACTAAATACCAATTCTTCAAAAAGAGTGCTAATATTACTATTACATGGTACTAATCAGTGTCATGGATAGCTTATTCTAACTCATAATTGATATTTGCAGTTAGCAATTATCATGATTTTATTGGATCACTAGAAAAAGCTCCAAATTGATGATAAATTAAAAAAAATCCAAACATAAAATTATCCCATAAAATATCAGCGTAAGGATTCCATTTACTCAATGTAAGAAATTAAAATTAACATATATTTACGAACAATTTATGTAGTATAACTAACTCTTATTTAATCAACAATAGTGTTTGCAATCTATCCTATTTCTTGACTATCTCATGAAATCTAAGAGGCTTATAGCACATAAAATCTTCAGGTAGACAGAATAACTATTATCATATCACATGTTGTATCAAAATCAAAGCCTGTGAATTTGTAATCCCTTCTGGATTCAAAGTCACTAGATCATAGATATATTTTCACATTGATCTCCAATCACTCATGATATTATCCAATTTTTCAATTTACCATATATGTGATAGTACTACTAAAATTTAGAACACACAAGTTACCTTGGCTCGTATTCCAACACCTCAAGAAGCTTGTTTCCATTCTTATCGAGAGAAAAGAGAACCTAAGCCCCAAATTGCCTTACGGTGATTTTTGTTTTTTTTTTCCCACAAAATAGGTCTGGGTCAAGTTTTGGGTCAATAGGTCAATTATTAAAACAAGTCAAGTCTAAAACTGACCCAAATATAAATGGTTCAATATTTAAACCAGTTAAAAAAAATAGGTATTTATGGGTCAGGTCAAGAGCAGGGCAATTGAACTAGTTTTTTTGCACACCCCTGTCTATGGGAGCCCTATAGTAAGGATGATTTGAGGGACTAAATTATATATTTTCTCTTTTAATTTTTTGATAAAATAGTAAGGTTCAACAATCTTTCAATATAAATAGACAATGGTAAGCTCCACCGATTCAAAGAAAATATTCTTTATCATCATTATACCTGTTATGATTTTTACATTTATAAGATATAAAGGTACTAAATTGGAATTATGCATATAAATAAAAAGATTAAAAAGAAAAGCTAGAATAAAATATAGATATAAAAAAGATTAAACATATCTACATAAAAAGAATAAATAAAGCAAGGAAAAAATAAATAAAAGAAAATATATTGAAAATTCATAACTGTAGTTTTTTTTCTTTATTTATACATTTTTTTTATTTAGATACATTTGATTTTTTTTTTTTACTATTTTTTCTTTGTCTTTTATTAAGTGTTCTATTTTTTTTATAACGTTTGGTTTTATTTTTCCTTTTTATTTTATTATTTTATTTTCTTCTTCTAAGAAGGGTAGAATATATATACTTAGTTAATTTTCTAACAGCGTTAAGAATAATGTAATTGAAAAAATCACAAGAGATTAAGTGATTAAAATAAAAAGTATAGGGGTGAAAGTAGTTCAAAACAATATTACAAGAAGTTTTTTGAACTTTTCCCTAAAATTATATATTTTTACTCTATCGTTCACAATAATATTTTATTTTTATGCTTTGTTTGATTTCCGTTCTCTGTTCTGAAGAATAGTTTCTTAACTTAAAAACAAAAAAATTAAAAAACTTATTTGGCATGAATTTTTTGTATTTGTTGTTCTAAAAACAACATCCGTTCTTTAGTTTTTAAAACAAAAAATAGAGAACACCTATTACTTGTTTTTGTTCTTTAGTGGTTGTTTGGATGGGCTTCTCCTCCCTTAGAAGTTGCTTTTCTTTAAAAAAAGTAAGTGCTTTTAGAAAAAAAAAAAACTTATGTTTGGATGTGTGCTTTCAATAAAAGCAAAAGCCAACAAAAAAGGAGAAATCTTACTTTTCTGAAAAGTTAAAATCTTTAACTTTTAAATGAAGGAGAAGCCAAAAGTTAAAAATTGACCCATCTCTCCCTTCGAGTATTCCGTCTCAGCGTCTCAGCCAAAGCAGCGAACCTCCGAGGTTGAGGATGGAAAAAGAGAGAGAGATTTGAAATGGCTTCGATCGATGAATGAATTGAGTAAAGCGAAGAGAGGTATACCATGGTTGGATTTTGGGCGACACTTGAGGGAGTACGAAGGACGAAAACGTGAAAAAGTGAAACATGAAAAAGAAATATAAATCAAAACCAGATTCAAGATAAAAACGAAGCACGATGAACCTGGATAAAGAGTAAAGCAAAAGAAGGATGAAAAGACACAATGGAAAAGAGGTGTAATAGTAATTTTACATTGGAAAAGTGCTTTTTTATTTTAACATCCAAATTATTTTTTTTACTCAAAACCACTTTTTAAATACTACATCCAAACATAAAATAATTTTAACTTTTAAATAAAGTTCTTTAGAAATAAGAACTCATAATTTTTTTTTCAAAAGCTCATCCAAACGGGCCCTAATTCGTGTCAATTTGTTTACTTTCTACCTCTTAAGTCCCGCACCTCTTTTTTGCAAAACTTGTGTGGACATTTAAATGAGTCTTGTACATTTAACTCAGTGTTGTACTCTAAGATGCATCGACAATGACACATGACATGGACATGATATGACACGACACATCGACATATTAATTTTAAAAAATGTCATATTTTAATACGTTGGGATACGTTTTGATATTAAATAATATTTTTAATATATATATAATAGATAATGATTAGTTAAAGTTAGTTAAAGACTGTTATTTCAGTTATTCTTTAGTTTCTCATATGCTATATATAGCAGCACTCATGTATCATTTACATAGATCAATATACAAAAGTATTCATTCAGTCTCATTTACTATTAATTTGTTTTCTCTTCACACTGTGTGTGAATCCCTTTCATCTTCATAGTCTGATACCTCACATGGTATCAGAGCTAACAACGATCCATGGAGTCACCTCAATCTTCACCAAGCTCCTCTACAAGCACTGAAATCGCAAAATCGTAAAGCTCATCATGAAATCTTTTTCAAACACGATTGCTGATAAACTTGATGAGGAAAGCTTTCTTCCCTGGGAACAACTTGCTCTTGCATCAATCCATGGGCACAACCTGCAGAATCATCTCAACAAAGAAAAGGTTCCTGTTCGATTTGCAACTCAAGCAGATCAAGAAAATGAAAAAGAATCCGAAGACTATGCAACCTGGCACCAATAAGACCATCTTCTTGTATCTTGGCTACTCTTCTTTATGAACATATCATTCAAGAACAGGATGGTGGGATGCAGGTTTGCTCATGAAATCTGGACAAGACTTCAGGTCTACTTTGCTTCTCACACACAAGCAAAAGTCAAACAACTCAAAAACCAGTTGAAATCCATCAAAAAGAAAGGACCAACATCAGAATATCTTCTTCAAATCAAAAAGATTGTTGATTCTTTGGGAGCTGTCGGTTCTCCAATAACAGATGCTGAATATTCAGAAGCAATTCTTGATGGATTGAGTGATGAGTATACACCTTTAATCACTTCTGCTATGTCAAGATCTCCACCTTTTTCTATAATCGAATTGGAAGCATTCCTTCTTGCTCAAGAGGAAATGCTAGAAAGATTCAAAAAGAATGATGCTACACCAATTTAGGCTAATGTCACACAGAGCAACATACAGCAGGACAACAAATTCAACAGCAATGAAGGAAGAACCTTTGGAGGAAGAAAAGGCAGAGGAGGTCGCGGATTTAGAGGTGGTAGAACTCAAGGTCAATTTTGGAATCAAAATCGACTGCAATGACAAATCTGTGGAAGAACAGGTCATCCAGCTTTGAAATGCTACTACAGATTTGATTCCAACTACCAACCATCATCTCAAAACAACCAGAATCAAAATCCTCCTCCACCTCCACCTCCTTCCTTTCATAATCCTAAGGCATATATAGCAGGACCTGCATCCCTTACAGACAACTCTTGGTATCCAGATTCTGGAACCACTCATCATCTCACCAATGATCTTGGTAATCTTTCTTCTAGCTCTGAGTACAATGGCTCTGAGCAAGTCCACATTGGCAATGGAGCAGGTATGCATATTCAACATGTTGGAAACTCTTTCTTAACCTCATCTGCATCTCATCTCACATTTAAACTTGAAAATCTTTTACATGTGCCTTACATAACCAAGAACTTAATAAGTGTATCTCAATTTGCTAGAGATAACAAAGTTTACTTTGAATTCTTTCATGATTATTGCCTTGTAAAATCTCAGGTCACTAAGGACATTGTCCTCAAAGGCAAGCTTAAAGATGGCCTCTATCAATTTTCGAATGTTTTAGTAAATAAATTGCCATATGTAACTAAACCACCTATGGCTTTGTACTCTAAATGTGTTCCTTTTGAGCTGTGGCATAAAAGATTAGGCCATGCTAGCTCCAAAATTGTTAATTATGTCTTGAAACAATGTAATTTTCCAGTTTCTGATAATAAAAGCACAGTTACCACTTCTGTTTGTGAAGCCTGCTGCTTAGGCAAAATTCACCAATTACCTCATTTTCCATCTACTACTTATTATGTTGCTCCTCTTGATTTAGTTTTCTCGGATGTGTGGGGACCAGCTCCTATTTCTGGATCCTCTAACAGCAGATATTATGTCTTATTTGTTTATGCTTTTACCCGATACAGCTGCATTTATCTTCTTCAAAATAAGTCACAGGTTTATCATGCTTTCTTACAATACAAATCCATGATAGAAACTCTTACTGGTTTAAAAATAAAATCTCTTCAAACTGACAATAGAAAAGAATACCTACCTCATGTTTTCACTCAATTTTTGCAAAGTCATGGCATTACTCATAGGCTCAAATGTCCCAACTCTCATCAACAAAATGGAAGAGTTGAAAGAAAACATAGACACATAACAGAAGTTGGTTTAGCACTCTTAGCTAATGCCAAACTTCCCTTACACTTTTGGGAAGATGCTTTCTCTACTACCACTTACCTTATTAATATATTACCTTCACCTGTTACAAATTATAAATCTCCTTATGAATTAATTCATCATAACAAACCTGACTACAACTTTATGAAAGTCTTTGGTTGTGCATGCTTTCCTTTACTTCGACCCTATAACAAACATAAACTAGACTTTAGATCCCATAAATGTTTGTTTTTAGGCTATGCTATCAATCAAAAAGGCTACAAATGTCTTTCCCCTACAGGAGAAATTTTTATTTCTAGAGATGTCATCTTTGATGAAGTTGATTTTCCTTACACTGTTTTATTTTCTAACACTTCTACTTCACCTACATCCTTTACATATCTTCCTTCTTCCATTCCTAAGATACCCTGCATTCCAAAACATACGACATCTCATATTCTACCTGCTGTCACAACTACATCTTGTCATTCTACACCTTTTACAACATCAACAGGTGCTACTAATGTTTTGTCTAGTCTTCCTACTTCAGGTTCTATACATCAGTCTTCACTTAATATTCCTCTCACTACTGCTACTGATAGTTCCTCTTCTCAATCTGTTCCACACTCTTCGCCTCATAACTCTCATCACATGCAAACCAGAAGCAAATCTGGAATTCACAAGCCAAAGACATATGCTACAACCTTACTTGGCTCACAATCTGAATTTCTCAATTTTGAGCCTCTGAATGTATCTCAAGCACTTAACTGTCCTCATTGGAAGCAGGCTATGACCGAAGAATTCCATGCTCTCATTAAAAATGGTACTTAGACTCTTGTTCCTCCTCCACCCAACATCAAACCCATTGGTTGCAAGTGGATTTTTCGCATCAAAAGACAACCAAATGGCACAATTCAAAAGTACAAGGCTCGACTTGTTGCAAAAGATTTTCAACAAAAGGAAGGATTTGACTTCACTGAAGTTTTCAGCCCTGTCATCAAACCATCCACCATTCGACTCATTCTCTCCATTGCTCTATCTAATGGATGGATCATTCGGCAATTTGACTTTAATAATGCTTTCCTTTGTGGAACCTTACATGAAGATGTCTTCATGCAGCAACCTGATGGTTTCCCTAGCAGTAATCCTCAACTTGTGTGCAAATTGAACAAAGCTCTCTATGAACTCAAACAAGCTCCTCGTGCTTGGTTCAATACTCTCAATCATACCTTACAAAAGTTTGGTTTTCATAGCACCAAATCCGATGCCTCTTTATTCACAAGGTTCACTCCTACATCCACCACCTACATTCTTGCATAGGTTGATGACATACTCATTACTGGCAACAACACATCTGAAATCTCCTCTCTTATATCTCAACTCAACAACATCTTTTCACTTAAAGATCTTGGTCAACTTCATTATTTTCTTGGTCTAAAAGCAGTCTACACTTCTCCCACAACCATCCATCTTAGTCAGACTAAATACATTACTGATCTTTTGGAAAAAGCTACTATGAATTTTGCAAAGTCCATGCCTACCCCAATGCTTATAGGTCAGAAATTATCCATGGAAGGAAGCACTTCCTTCTCAGATCCTACTCTATATTGCTCCATTGTAGGTGGACTACAATATGCAACTATCACAAGATCTGATCTCTCCTATGCTGTTAACAAAGTTAGCCAATTCATGCACAAACCACTTGAAGTTCATTGGAAAGCTGTCAAAAGAATATTGAGATACTTGGCTGGTGTAAGAACCTGCACCGTTAATTAAGGAATTTAATTATTAACTATGCAAAAATAGGAAATGATTTCATAATTGACCCTAATAATTATTATGTCTTATATAATTATAGTAAGTGATTAAGAATGCTGAAAGTCGCTTTTCGGAGGAAAAGTGCAGATACCGGTTCTGCTAGTCGGTATAAGTGCGTACCGAAAAAGTATCCCGGAAAATTATAATAAGTGCATGATAATTACTAGAATATTATATAGGACTTGTAAAACGAGTTTCAAGTTAAAATAATGAGAACTGGTGTCAGAAACTGATACTGGCTATGAAAAGCGCGTACCGGAAAAGTGCTCCGAAAAATATATTGAAAATATGATAAATCTTAGGAAATTGTGTAGTTTTAGAATCCTGAGTTTGGGATTAAAATGCTAAGCGTAGCAATTAAAGTTAATACTGTGTGTTTTATTTAAAAGTAGCTATATATACTCATTTAAGGGCACATTGCCCTAGATACCAAATTTTCCAGCGTGAGAATTAGGGAGGCTGATCAGTTTGGGCTGTTCCTTTGGGTTCTTCTCCATTTTCTTGAGCCAAGAAGTGATCTTTCTTGATTTTCTTCACACTTTCCCTTGGGGAAACACTTGGTTGGGTGTGATGGTCTCTTGTGAGTGGGAAATGAACTTATTTTCTGAGTTGGTTTCTGTTTTGTGAGGATTGTTGGGGCTGTTTTCTGGGTTTGAGTGATTAGTCACTTGGTAGTGGCATTCTTGAGTTCCAAGTTGTGAGTTTGTGGGGAAAGACATCATCTTGTGGTGTTAAATTCGTGGTGTTTGGAAGTCAGAACCTGTGTGCCTTGTTAGAAGCTCCAAGGAAGAGTCTTTTCTGAGTTTTAACCTCTTGGAGGTATACCTTGATCACTCTTTGTCATTTTGGAGTCTTAAGCTTGTTTAATCTATTAAAAATAGGAACTTTAACCATTTAAGTAAAAGAATATGTTTTTGGGTTCATAACATGTTGGTGATTATCTGTTTAGGGAGTCATTGGACTCCCAATCGCTTTTGGACCTTTAAATTTGGGATTATGCAGAAGTTGGCTCGAATTTTTGCATTCTGTTGAAGAAGTATTCAAATACTTTTCGTGTAGTATTCGAATACTTGTTCATCAGGTAGTCGAATACTCATTGCAGGAGTATTGGAATACTTTTCTGGGAAGAGAAGTATTCGGATACCTTTGAAGAAATATTCGAATACTGGAAAGTATTCGAATACAGTAAGGTTTGGTATTCGGATACTGAGGTATTCGGATATTGGGGGAAAAGTATTCGGATACTTGTGAGTATACGAATACTTTAATGGAAGTAATCGAATACTTTCTGGAGACAGGGAGTATTCGAATACTCATCGATGAGTATTCAAATACCTCCTGCAGAAAATGCATAAAATGACTTATAATGAGATGGAAAGCCTTAATCACTTAATGTAACTTTTATAGATGGTTATTGATGATTACTTACTGTATAAACAGATTGTGATTGTACTGTTTGCGGGCTTTGAGCTAGTGTGGACTCTTGCCTTGGATAGTTAGCTTGCAAGGTAAGCTTTCGTGTCCTCGGTTTAGCCATGTTGTGGTTCCACCATGTCCCATGGGGGTATGGTATATGCATGCTGTGTTACATGCTTTTGATGTTTTGGAAATGCTGTTGAGCTATTGTATGTTAGTGCCTTGCTGATATGCATGGAGGTGTTCCACCTATACGGTAAGCCTGAGTATGTAGAACATACAATAGGGTGAGGCTGTGGGTGAGGTGCAAGCGGTGTTCCTTGTACTACATGTAGGGAATAGACGTATTCCTACATTTCTCTGGCCAGTAGATAGTGATTACACACATGCCATAGATATCTATTGCACTACATAGTTTTGGAATTGATAATGATATTACTGCTTTTAGAACTTATATTGCACATGTAAGTGAGCTTAGGGTGGAAGATCATTGAGGACCC